TATGCATGTGCGTATGGATGTATGCGTGTATATACATATGTATGTGTGTGTATACCCATAGACATATACGAACATACATATTTACATACATATGTGCATTCATGCATACATTTCTGAATCCGCTCCTACTAACAGAAGAGTACCATTTATTTTTGCATATAATATAACTAGCGAATACAGCAATAAAACAAAAACTGATTGATAAAATTCTGGAGAAAATTACTGGAGAATATGTTATGCCACACTGAAATATATCAGCTCAAAGATTCAACAGTAATTCGCATTCAGTTTATTTAAATAAGTAGGAATAACCATTAAAATGTTTGTGCTTCGTAATGTGAATCTAAAAATGAATAAAAGTAATCTATTATAGCAATACACAGTTTATGTGATTGAAACTAGAAATCTGATATCTGAAATCAAAGCGGTATTCATTTGAATGCGCGCAATTTTTGAATGACGAACCTTTTTATTCAACGAAGTTCTGGTGAAACCGTCTAATTATGCCTATCTTTAATGAAATTAAGATGAAGGTATTCAATGGATTTCGTGAAAAGCAATTCAATAAAAGTATTTCCAAACATTTTAATCCTTTCAAACACGTTTTATGTACTAGAATCGATGATATTTACTTCAGATATGGTTTCTAAGATAGAGGGCAACCGAAAAATGCATAACTCAAATGCATGGCTCATAATAATAGTTGATGATTCACTTACTTTTCTTTCATATTAAGTTCAAATGATTTAAAATTAATGGAGTTTTAAGGTAAGTTAAGGTTTAAGGTTGCAGAAACAATCGGTTATTTCGAGGCAGAAGACATGAAAAATGAGCAATGCCCTCGCCGGGACTCGAACCTGGAACCTCTCGAATACGCGCCGAACGTGCTGACCATTACACCTCGAAAGCATGCTAAGAAGGCGGGAGAAATACCTTATAAGGTCGTTGATTCTAAAATGCAACTGAATAAATGGCAGTTTACGACAGAATTTCAAGCAGATTCATCTGAATCACTTACCATTGCTGAAGTCAGAATTAAATTTAAAGCAGGTGGATATATTTATAATACCCGACACGAAAGACAAGAAAATATTTCATTCAGAAGTCAAACAACAAAAATCAACGTTATATTTACAAAAAATTCACAATTGAAAATTTTGTAAATATAACGCTGAGTTTTGTTGTTTGACTTCTGAATTAGTATTTATTCGGCGTGTTATTGTGTCTTAAGAAAATATTTGTTTTATCAGGTATTTTCTGCTTCCTTTCCGCATGCCTTCGTTGTGTAATTGGAAGCATACTCGACGCGTATTGGGTAGATCCAAGGTTCGAGTCTCGGTGAGAGAAATGCACATTTCATTTTTCATGTCTCCTACTTCAAAAACAAAAAATAACACTACGGTGGCGCTCGAACTAAAAACGGTGGGGTACAATAATTCGTCGCAACCAGGGTTTGGCAATTGGTTCCCTTAATCCTTAGTCGCCCTTTAAAAATTCCCATTTTTAAAGGGCGACTAAGTTAAGGTTTAAGGTTGCAGAGACAATCGGTTATTTCGAGGCAGAAGACATGAAAAATGAGCAATGCCCTCGCCGGGACTCGAACCTAGAACCTAGAAACTAATGTATTTAAGGTCATTTTCTCCCTCCTTACCGCATACATTCATGCTGTAATTAGAAGTATAGTCCATGCGCATTCGAGGAGAGGTCCAGGGTTCGAGTCCCAGTCAGGAACTGCACATTTTTTCCCTTCGCTTCAAGAAACACCTAGTGTCTCTATAGATTTCCGTAGATTATTTTACGTTTTGAAATTAAAGCATTTGTTAGTGAACATTTGAGGAATTATTTTGTAGGAATATGGTGTGTGAACTGCTCAGCAAATCTCATAATATGCGACAGGAGCGATATTCTCACTTTCGCTAGAGTACGGAGGAACTCCTGGGTAGATTTAACCCTATTTCGAAGTGCAAGTACCATTACAAAATTCGCAGGTCACCGACGGAGAAAACGGCAGCCACCACAATAACATCATTTACGAGATCACTAATTTTCCATGCGAAAGAAAAGGCGAGGGCTAAAATATCAATAACAGATACTGATTAGTTAAGCTACAAACATGGAAACTGTTCAAATGTATGCAGATAATATCAATCTAATCACTCAAAAGAATATAGATAGCCACATTCGAAAAACAACCGAAGAGCTGCAATGACTCTACAACAACAATACTAAAAAGAGAACTACACAGAGAAGCCACCAACCGCCCATGGTGGACTAGTGAGTTCGCTGAAATGGGACACAGAGTCACAGCACTAAGAAAACTCTGGCAGAAAACAACATGAGAAGAGAGAAAGTGTTCCAGATTGCGTTACAAAATATAACGTAAAAGGAAAAAGCCTTGGTCCATTACAGTTAAGCACTGTGACCAAAGCAGACGGCACTACCACAAACTCGGTAGAGGACATAATTAAAGAAATTATTGACTACTCGGTAAAGGACATAATTAAAGAATCACCACTTTCCACAAGATGACCCTTCTAAAGACACGAAATAGCAAATAACCCTGCGGACCTACTCAAGCACACCACCATACACAGAAAATGACGCCCCTTCTCCCATCCAGATTTAAGAAGTCTAATACTTACAAAGAAACCAGGCTCCACGTATAGATAACCGAACCATAGATGTCGCAGAAGAGTTAAGAATAGTAAATAGTGATAACATGGGTGACACTTTTCAACACATGCTTAGATCTGTTTTCCAGAAACATGAAAAGCGGAACTGGTCCTTTCCCACAAAGAGGGAAAGGACAAAATACGCCCACGTTCATATAAGCCGATCTGCCTCTTCTCAGCAGGAGGCAAGGTCTTAGACGAAGGCCTTAGACCTCGAGACTCATCCACTTCCTAGAAAGTAAACAGCTTCTCAGCGTGGCCCAGTATGGGTTTAACACAGGAAAGTGCACGGTAGATGCATCAGTCTCATGTAACTAATTGGTACTCTTGGTTTAAATTGCAACAACAGTATTCAAATATTAATAAGTTAAAGAAATTAATAGTAATGATTAATAGGAACATTGTTTATGGTCTTCTGTAAATCTAACTTAATTCCGCTATCTTACAGTAAGATGCATTCAGAAGTTTTTAGAATTAAATCTCTACGTCCTATATAGCTATTTAGGAAGTTATTTGTGAAATTGGCCTTGTTTCCTCATGTATCTCTTTTTTTTTAAGATTTAGTAATTGCCGTCTGACCTGCCACCCACCCCGATTGTAGTGGAGCGGGTAGTAGATAGCTTCCGGAGGCAGAGGCTTTAATCTGTGTAAGGCAGTTTGCTAGATTGCAAGGCAACGTAGCCCCTGTTCTCTGGCGTATAACAATAATAGTAGTAGGTGTTTTAGACAGTGTCCAAAAGACTTGATAACAGAAGCAAATGATTAGAAACGTGCACAATATTTCTTGATATAGCGTCAGCCTTCAATCAACTATGCTGGCTCGCTCTCAAAGCCAGACTGATGGACTTCAAATGTCCAAGGAATTTTTTCAACATCATAAACAGCTACCTGGAGAAACGGAAAATAACTTCTAAAAAAGACGCAAACCACATAACAAAAGATATAAAAGGTGCCTCACAACAGCGCCAATACTCTGAAATGTCATAGCTGACGCTGCCCTCAGGACAGACTTCTAGGATGAAGCCTTAATCCGGGCTTACACCGATGATTTTATACCAATAATAAATTATGGTAACCGCACTATTATAGAACGAAAGGAGACTAAAGCACTAGAAAAACTGACGATATCGAGTGATAAATGCAAATTAAAGTTTAGTATAACAAAAACACAAGTTATACATATTATGTTTCCCAAAGGGCACAAGATCTAAGCCAACCTCTCCCCGCATCAGATTGCAAGGAGTGCCCCTCAGACAGGATACTATCAAATACCTAGGTTTCATCTTGGGTGAAAAAGCTAACAGCTATTTAGCCAGCGTTCGGGAAAGAACCAAGAGCATAGTCAATAAGCTAAATAGAATAGTTGACCATAAATGGGACCTAAAAGGTAAACTATTCAGAGCTTTACTTGCGAGCTATTGAGCTCATAATACTTTATGGTTATTCAGTTTGGATAACTAACACCGTCAGAGTATACCAGAAATTAAAACAAATTAAACTCATTGCTCTAATCAAAATAACCCCGGCCTACAGAACAACCTCTAAGGCCACGTTACAAGTATATGCAAGGTACTCTCCCTGTAGACATCAAAGCCCAGATAGGAAAAACACTATACCGTCTCTTCCACTATGCGGAAGATGCCATGCATAATGGTCACATCACGTCGTGTGACCCATGGTCGCGTGAGTCAAACGTTCACGTTATGTATATAGTGTAAATCCTGTAACCAAATACTAAGAAAAAGATTTACAAATCTAACTCGTTGTATGTTGTGACTCGTTGTATTTTTTGTAAACTCTATTGAATGAAGTCCAAAACGAGCAAAAAAAGATATTGAATAGCGACCTAACTGCCAGAATTATTACTAGTAGAACGACTATTCCACAAAATTAACAAATTATTCTGGCAGTGCTGAAAATAGTTCACATACTACTATGGTAATTAAATTTCACTTTTAATTTTTAGTATAAAAATTATTTCTTTATTAACGGCAACAATTTTTTTATATTTTAATTTGGAACTTTTGACGAGATTAAAAACATGTGATAGTAGCAGTATAAAACCGCAAACTGGAATTAACTGTAAATAACTTTAAGGTATTAGACTAAAATATGATACATCAAACTGCCGTACGAGAAAATGTATTTCCCATTTCATAAAGTCTCTATCGAATTAGCTATGTATTGATCTATTAAAAATCACTTTTTTTTATTGATAAATTACATATTAATCGTACTGAGGCAAAATTTATGTTCTTATTTTTACTTGTACTGTTCTTGTAATTGATGCCATTTTATTAAAATTTAGTTTTTTTATTTATTTCTCAGGGGGGAGTCGGTTATTATGGAGCCGGACTCAATGCCTTCTGCCCCCTAGCAACACAAACGCTACCCCCCGGCCCATATTCACCACCGGATCGGCCTAAACCACCAATTGGTAAGTTAAAATTTTCACGTAAAATAGTTTTATTCTGATACGCTTAAGTCAATTAAACTGTATCACCCAAGTTCTTTCCGTAAGTGCTGAAATTCCTCTTTTTTATAAATTATTTAATTAGCCATTTATACCCTTTATTATGAAGTAGGAATACAAAGGATGCGTTCAAATGTTATTAGAAATACTTGCAAATTATCTGTTTCTTGGTTAACATTAATGCTATAAGTTTTTAATAAAAAATTATTTCTGTGTGTTATTAATTAATTCAGAGTGTTATTAAAAAAATTATTTCAGTATTTCTTAAAGTTAAATATAATGTATACCAGTGATAATGACGTGATTACTTAGGATTCATAATTAAATAACTGTTCTGTTTTTCAGATATTGATGGGGTTTAGTGTATCATCTTATTTGCTTAGTTCTACTTTCATTCAATATGTAAAGAGAGCAAAGCATTCTTTTCTAAAACCTAACATAATAAGTGATTCAGCGATTGTTTGTTCTTTTGAATACTAGTCTGAAGTTTGCTGTTTTAAAAGTATTAGAAATCAATGCATTTTTTTCAAGCAGAACTTTCCTGCATTTATTTTGTCATCAAGTTGATGAAGGATAATTGGACTGCATCCTCAAGGTACCTTATATATTCTTATTCGCTTCCTTCTTTCCACCTTTTGATTAGCATTACGAGTAGCGACAAACTGCTCAACGAAATTTCTTAGCTGTCAGTTCATTAAAAACAGGAAAATCGGTATCCGTTTTGCTCGTGGTCACCACTCAATTTGTGGAGATATAACAGCTGATTGCTTAGATAAAAGTGCTTTAAATTTACACATCGACATTAGATAAGCATTCCGAAGAGTTATTTGAAATCTGTTTATTATAAGAATTTATTATAAGAAGCTTTCATCTAAGTCGAATGAAGAATATATTTCATCTTGTAATGCTGCTCACATCAAAAAATCTTTCCTTCCGTTTATGACCATACGTTTGGCCGCATTAGGTTGTTGCGCCATTTAATCACACCATCCATCCATCCTTTCCTTCTGTTAACCATAGACTACCTTCCACGTCTTTGTTTTTTGCAAATTTTAAAGTATCTCAGTTTTTAATCAAAATCGCAATAGCAACCTTGTATTTCGCGTACATTTATTAAAATACTCAATGAATTTCGAGGGCAGCTACAGATCCCTCCTCATCAGGAGAACGAAATTACTAACGAAATTACTAGAAAGTAATTCGTTCTTTCTAGTAATTTCGTTCTTCTGATGAGGAGGGACCTGTAGCTGCCCTCTAAATCGACTGAGTGTTTTAATAAATGTACACGAAATACAAAGTTGTTATTGGGATTTTGATTATCACATTGGCGTGTTTCTCTTCTATTCTATCTCAGTGTTTATCTAGTCATTGTAGATTACTAAGTTAACCTGTTTCTTTTAAATTTAAGATAAAGTTTTCTATGTCATTGTTCGGTGAAAGTACCTCAAGAAGTGGAATATTTAAATTTTTCCTGCCCCGCTTTTGATGGCCCTATATAATACCTGAAGAACGATTTAAAAATGTTAGGTGTGATTTGGCCAGAGAACTTATCTGTTTTTGTGAAATCTATACTGCTGCTCTGCATTTATATTTGTTTTATTAATTGATATAATGTTTAATGTTTTAATTAGCTTACTTTCATAAGCCCCGTGTTGTACATTTAAAGTGCATGAGGAGTTTGTATTTGGTAAACAAATTATTGTCTATCATAATTTTCAACACTAGTTTAAAATAGTATTTTGCAACAGAGTGCCGTCTGTGCAAGACATGAACGAGACAAAACGCAATCATTAAGATCAGAATTATTCAACTCCAGTCACTCAGTATTCAAATCACGCCTAACTGTCTTCATTAACTTATTTCGTATTTCTTGAACAAGAGGGTGTAATAAAAACGACGCAGGGTAGGAAAGTGAACTGAAGAAATGAAATTTTAGTATTAAATATGGTAATTTTAAACTATCTGAAAAACTTTAAAGCAGGTAAAGAGGACTGAATAGGCAGATTTTGTAATAACATGACTATGTGGAAATGTTAAGCGGAGGTGAAAGAGAACGAACTGGTAAATGAAAAAGGACCGTCGGCGTAAATCATCATTGCCAGTGTGTATATCGAACGGTATTCATCACCACACGAATGTAGAGCTAGCCGATATGAATTATATGAATTTTGTCTGTGATTTTCGAACGGAAATGTGGTAGCAACTCGAAGAATGTACAGAGAAGGATTCCTGAGTAGACAGCTACAGAATCGGGAAGTATTTGAACATATTAATTGAGAATTATACAACACCGAATCTTTCACGTATTTCTGTTGAAGGTCCCACTTTCAAGCACCTATTTTAAAACGCTGAATGATTAAAATAGTTGTTTCTTCTGACTTTACCTTTCTTTCTTGCTTACCTTTCGTTCATAACTTCCCTATGTGCCAGCACTTGCATGCGCCCTCTCCGCATACGCATGCCAATACAAAATCTGCATATTTCAGTCCTCTGTACATTTTTGCCAGGTACTTTAGAATCATCCTTTACAAAGACAAATTTAAAAAAATAAAATGCCTTTTGAAAAGTCCTTCTAAAATGCATTTCACTCGTGTATCTTTTATCCTCACAAGTTTAACTATTTTCCGTAAGCAAAATATTAAAGTTAGAATTGTAGAATTGCATGCTTTACTACTTCAGCTGGCAATTCTGAACTTCAATGTCATTAGAAAATATTTTTCGAAATTTTTAAACACAAACTCAGTGTCTCAAAAGTCATTTTGCTGTTATAAATTTAAATACACGAAAAAAAAAAAAAAGAAAATTTGCTGTTCAGTAATCCTTAACTATCACTGCAACATGTTTCTTTCGTACATCCTTATTAAAAGAAAATAAGAAATAAACATGCTGATAACTTAAATTTCAAAAAAGATTTAAAGCTTTCTCTTTAATTTATGTTTTAATTACTAGAATGCAAAATTTGCATTTGCTTGTTGAGACCACAGATTTTTCTTTTCTATTCTTTTGATAATTTTTTCACGGTTTTTAATATTAGTCATTGATTACATATTACATCTCCTGCAATATGCCTAAAATATTTTCTTTATTCTTAGCAATATTTAAGAATATTTTTTATCTATTCAATTTCTATTCAGGGAGCGACTTTCAGTGAGTTTTTTTATATTTTCAGTGAAGACTTATGAAGCTTATTAACAAGTATCTAAGGCTACTTTTCATTTTATTTAACAATGTAATGCATTTTTTAACAATACTTGTCTAAGTTTTTTTTTATTTTATTTTATAAAACAATGCATTTGTTTGTACTTAACGATGTATATTTCTCTTGCTAGCCTATGCTCAAACACTACCTTGGGGAACGCATTTAACATATGCCCCATCAGGTCCTCCTAGCCCAGAGCGGCGTCCTAAGGAAATTTTGATACCTCCAGGTACAGCTTGATTTGATTTTTCTTCCTATTTTTTTTTTAAGATTTGTCGAGGAATTAAATAATAAAAACTATTCCATTGAAAATTATTAATTTAAATATATTATTGTATGTGAAGAATTGCTCTGTAAGAAATATATTTATTAAATATCTAAATTATTCTCAATAACTTCAATAACGTATATTTGTATTTTTACATGTTTTTACAATTAGTATTAATATATTTAATTAATTAACACATTTCTATTCAATTATAAAGTAATAAAAGGAAAATATCCTTGAGAATTATCTAGGTTAGCAGCATTATGAAAGCATCAGTTGCCCAGCCACCAGCTTCATCAATTTTTGTAAATTATTATTCGCCCCATCACGGATAATACTACCACTATTCTACAGTGTTCATTAATTGGTACAAAAGTAATTTTGTCTTAAACAATATAATGCAAAACATTTTCAAGTAGCTTCTGGCAATTAACTTAAAATTCAATTAACTTAAAAAATCCTGTTTCGTCTCAAATGCTCCCCAACAAATACAATAATGGATATGTATTTTACAATCCTTTATAGTTTTCTTTCCAATCATTTTACTTTGTAAGATCAGAATTTTCCTTTTAGGTGTGTGTCCCCCGCCGAAGCCTCAACGTTCTTTTCAGCAAGGAGGTACTTTACCTTTAGCGAAAGGAATTCGCTGTACTCCCCCGCCCCCAACGGGACCTCCGCCTTCAATCCCGTCCCCCCGGTCCGTCATGCCCAGACCTATAGGTGAGTATGTAACATTCTTATTCGAGAACTTTTTCATGAATTCTATCATTGTCCAAGATCTCCTCTGTGTAAACTCCACTCAGTAGGTTTATTGGCATCCATTCATCTATAAATTCCTGTGACTAAATCTTCCTTACAAAGGATATTGTACCAGGCATAGAATAGTGACGCAAAGTTTATTTTCTCATTGCAGTGTGTAGAAAAAAAACTTTCCTGTGTAAAAAAGAGTCTCATTTTGAAAGCAAGCTCTATTTACCTCCTTTTGATACCTTGGCTATAGAAAACTTTATTCTGTTTGCTTTATACCATGGACAGAGGAATTCTGCGCGTTGTCCTCTTAAGCTTACATAGCATCAAGAGTTTCATATAACTGGGATATTTCATCTTTGTAGTGGATGTTACTTGAATTTTTTGTATAATTATTACTTCAGGACTTCAAAAACATGGGATGGGTAAAACATAACTTTCATTAATGCAAGCAAAACAAAGTATTTAACCTCCTTGAAAGACACGACTGTGTAGCCTTGAATAAGATTATCTGTATGCGCTATTGCTTGTGTACCTCTACTTTTCCAGTAGAAAATATTTACACTTATTTGCACATTTACTATATTTAAGCTTGGCAGCTACTTCTTAGAATTAATGGAATTGTAAGAATTGATTTAAGTTGTTCGTTCTCATTGTCGTGTCGAAGTTAGAGTGAGTGGGACAGTTACCTGAGGATAAAAATGTGAAAGGCCTAAAATTTAAATATTATAAAGAAATGTACATATAATGGTAAAATGCGAAAGTACATTAGAAATATTATCTATTCCAAGGTTACCCTTACCTATTGGCATGACTCGGGATGTTAATATCATTATATAAATGCATCAGATTTCATTTTATACCGAGGAGCTGAAAGGTCTTCAACATCACTTGCCAGACAGATTGGAGCTATTTACTGAAATGCTGTCAATTACACTTCTTAAAAAACGCTGTTTGGCTCCTTAAAGTGCGTAATCGAGATGTGATTAAAGTGTTTAATTATATTCCTTCCGAGTTATTTTCCTGCATACTATATACGTAGATGGTAAAAGAAAAAGAAAAATCATTCTTTTTCTAAGCTAAGATTTCTAACTGTTAGTGGTTCTGATGAACTTTAAAAAAAATGGGGGTGTCTGAAATGCGGCTATGGTCATGGACCCTTACAAAGCTGTAAGCCTTAAATGAATAACATTTCCTAGCTCACGTAGTCCGAAATGCTAGAAGTTCTCCTATAACTTTCTCAATGAGGACAATGCAAATGGCATTGAAAAATAAATAAAAATAATTAATTTATGCAGAAAGTTGAACAACTATTAGACAGAAGACGTGATTAATACTGTTGCTAAGGAAGGATAAATGAAACGAAGCATGTGATATCCAAATATAAGGTATCAGCTTAAAGCCATTATAAAATTTTTCGCTTTGTTCTGCTAACATTTGTTAATATAAAACTTTGCTATCTTTACTTATTTAATTACAGCATCGCATTTTACAAGGATACATAACACACGTTTTTTAAAACATAACACAGTATAATTTGCCTGTCTACAATAAAAGGAATAAATTCATTTGGAAAAGCTTAAAATTATAAGCACTTTTTAAAAGAATTGTATTTTTTATTATAGGAAATGAAAACTATTACTATTAATTTCAAATAGTCTTGTAACAGTATATCTCGAATTACAAATAAATGTGTAACAAAATAAATACCATTTTAATTCAATCATTGGTGACAGCTTCTGTAAAATAAATTAATTATATTTATAAATAATTGTCAAAAATATATAGCATAGCTACTGAAATTCTGTATGTCACACAAAATTTTAAAACGCATTACACTTCAGACATCTTGCTCCAGTAAGAGCTAATCAGTTATAGGGTTTCAACCTCTTCTCTTAAGTTATGTGTGTGGAACCTCGAGAACTGGTAAGCGAATAATTGCTTTACCTCAGGAAACGAAAACGTAAACTCAAGAAGGGTTAATTACCCTTTATTTCTCAAAATAAGTTCTTACAGACGGCTCCTGCCTTAGAGTGCTACTATGACTACAGAATGAAGCGTTATGAAAACCCGGTAATAACTATTTAAAGTTATTTGATGCCACCAGAAGAAATGCTGCCTGAAACTGTTTCGTAGCTACAGAATCCAATCGAAAAAAGTATAAAATACAATATTTATCGCGTCCATAAAGCGCGCTTTTTATTGGCTTCATTTGAAGGACTAGATTCTCAGATCCCAAAAATCACTAGTATATTCACACATTATTTTACTGGGCGGATGCCGATCCATTCAGGCAATGGGCCTGCATAGAGCGGGTATCCAGCAAGTAAACTTTTTTGGTAGATTAAAAAAACCATTTCTTGTTTAATTTCGAAATGAAGTTATCATTACAGAAAAATAGACGTCATAAAAGTTACCACCACCTCAACGCAGAACTTCCGATTACTTTGCGACGTCTTTACTACGCCTCGGAAACATGCTTTGCTTAAATATCCAAAGGGAGAAGAAGTTTTAAAATTCTAAAACTTTGCTGTTGTTTGAGGTAGTTAGCCTTTTAGTTTAATGCCTGATATTCAGACTTAAATTTTTAAAATTGATAGTGCTTCCATGTCCATAATATTTTCACTTGTAACTACGCTTGCATGTATTCCAGGTTAGTGCCTGCATTGTTGTCTACATATCTATCTATATGTATCTATTTTTATTTTTTTACGACTTATTAATTATTATTATTATTATATTTATTATATTTAAATTTGTTGGTGCTCAAAAATCAAGGGAACGAATAGTGAGGCAATACTCTAGTTCGAATTTTAATGTTGTAAATTTTTCGCCCTTTACGAGTCGATTTGAAGCATTAAATGAATAATTAATTTGCATTTCACCTGTCTTATACTACTTATTTTAGTTTCCATTAGTTTAAATTTATTCGTATTATTTAGTTTAAATATTTGTAAGAAATGTCAACATATTTGATTAACATTTCATTACACTTTACTTCGTTCTAAAATTTAATAGTTGCAATGTTTTGTATTTATACTCTTTTAAAATTTTTCCTAGGATTTTATATTTTTTTTTTCTTCTAATTTAAATGTTAGATTTTATATATATATAAAAATTTAAGATATATATTTTAATTATTAATATTTAACGAAAGAGGAGCAAACTTACATTGTGTGTAATGCAAAACTGCAAATTATTCTTTGTGTTTTAGGTCAATTTATGCGCTCAGCGCGACAGTAAAGCGCTGACATGGAGTTCGGTCCGAGGTAATCCCGCGAACAGGCTGGCTGCATGGGTGTTTCGTGTTCCCCTGTTAACGTGTATACGAGCCAGTTTCCCTTAAAAGTCTCACGAGCATCCCTCCCTTAGAAGTAGCCTAGTGGGCTTGCCTAATTAAAAACCACACCACCTAGCGCTTCAGTTTGAGGATTCAGCTGAAACGAATTTGTGATACAAGCTTTGATTGAAGAAGTAAGATTTTAAAATCAAAATATCGATCAATACGTATATAAATTATTGTTAAATACTGACCACCATTATTTACTCCTGCATGGTATAAGAGTTGGGAAATCTTTGAATTTGTAGAAAGTCTCCAGACATTCTCTTCTTTAAATGAACTGCATTGCCTTTACGGTGTAAGCGTGGTTTTATAACACACATTAAAGATGTTGATACGGTTCAGGTTATTAAAACTTATGAAACATTTTATTCTTTCCAATGATTTGAAATTTAAGTTCGTTTGTAGCCTATGCTCTAATAACTATTCGCCACGGCCAAAGAATGCACGCTAATTCTTATAGTACAGATATAATTCTTTCATGTTTGGTTTGATGCATCCATGTTCATTCAACGCCAATTTAAAATCAAAATACGAAACCATTTCGCATTTAAAAATTTATACGACATTTCCGCATTGGTTGAAATTCTCTTATGTGCATGATTTTGTAGTTCTTCATTTTCTTTTTTTTTTACTTTAACGCAGTTCTACAAACTTTCTTTCCGTATGTTGATAAATTTCCGATTTCCTCTTAAGACTTAAACATATATTTTGATCTGGATTTCTTCTTAACACTACTGAGTAAATTTCTGTCTTTCCATTAATGTTCGAGTTCTTAAATGGACGAGGCGTAATATGCCACTTTTCAAACATTTATTGCGTGATCGGCTTAACTCATTAGTCTTCTGTACATGATATCACACGTTATATCAGAACATCCTCCCGAGCAGCGCTCCTAGCAGTAGTGTGGCGAGCATCATTATAATATATGATCATGAATAACAGAATCTTCAATAAACTATCCACACCGACAAAAGTTATTTATTGAGCTTGAGCATAATTTTTGCCATCTAATTTAAATATCTAATAGTTTGCTGTCAGAACTTTTTCCCTAACAATCCATGATACTCGACAATAAAGCATATTTAAAATTAAAAATAATGAACGAGTTTATCTTGTTTTATTACGCCACTCAATAACTCAGAACTTCTATGTGTTAATTCGCGATATGAATTGATTTTGACGTAATTATATAGAGTCAATAATATATAATATATTATTATATTTATGACGTAATTATATATTAGCCAGACAGTTTGTTTAAATCATCCACAAAGCACTCAAATTTTAACCTCCTTTTTTAGTCCCCTAAACTGAAAGTTTTTTTATTGTTCATAAAAAAATAGAATATTAAAAAGCATTTCTTCCTATTTATATCGTCATCCGTGGCAACAATGAACCATTCTTTAACCTTAGCATCTGCTTCAGAAATAACTTTAAATGAAACAATCCAGACAGTTTCCGAGTAACATGAGTAAGTAAGAATGCAAGGCAAAAAATTCGATTCATGCGCCTCGTTTATTAGAAAATCTTATACCACCCCCGAAAAAAAAGAGAAGGGGGCAAAAAGTGCAATAACTAATTAATATGGTACATTTCATTTTCAATCACCCTTTTTTATTCTTCGGATGCT